TCAGCATCCCTAGAAGCCAGCCATTTGTCCCTATCTGGTCCAGCTAATGCCTCCTCCATGCTAGCTGGTTCCTCTGGTGCAGGGGCAAGAAAACAGTACGCAGGCTCATCCTCCTCATCCGGGTCATAGCCATGCGGTAGAATCAGCAATGCCTCTTCTGTCCCAAGCTGCTGCTCCGCTACATCAGCTCTTGCAGTCAGCTTCTTAGTAGCCATACGGGTACGTCCTGGTCTGGAGACGGGTGTTTCCCATCCCTTCATAACAACACCCTTCGGCTTCTTAGTTTTCCCCTGCTGCTGCTCTCCTCCCTCGGATCCAGCAGCTCTACTAGTGCTACCGCTAGACTCCACACCATTGTTTTCACCAGCAGGTGCCTCCTGCACCTTCTCTCCAGCACCACCTTTTGCAGCTGCCTCCTCTCCCTCCTCCCACACACTAGGAGTCAGGTCTAGCTGCATGGTGATCTGCTCCATCTGCTGGGACACCCTGGCCTCCGGCTGTTTCTCCCAGCTCCCATACATCATGCCCTCAACAAACTTCACATCCCTGCTGTCAAACAACACACCCTTGGAAGGTTCCCACAGCAGCCATCCCTTGCTCTCAGCAGCCAGCCCCAAATGGACACACCAGATTGCACTTGCCCCCAACTTACTGCGGTAGGTCTTGGGGACGTGGGCGACTGCCATGCAACCGAACACCCTCAGCATGTCCACCGGCGGCTTCCTCCCAAGCCACCTCTCCAACGGCACCCACGAGTCATCCCCAACCTTTGTGAGTACCCTGTTCCTAGCGACGGTAGCGTGCCGAACAGCATGGGGCCACATGGAGTTGCCCAGCCCAGATTCTATGAGCAGCGCCCTAGCTGTCTCCAGAATTGTCCGGTTCGCCCGTTCTGCTACACCGTTAGACTGTGGGGTGTAAGCCGTGGTCAGCTCCCTCTGGATGCCCTGCTTCTTGAGCCAGGTCGTCATCTCAGCTCTAAGGAACTCACCACCCCGATCTGTCCTAATCCGCTTCACCACACACTCCGCTTGCTTCTCCACGAATGGCAGCCAATCTTCCCGTATCGTAGAGGCGGCATGGTCCTTCTGCTTCAACGGATATGCCCACATAAGCCTGCTCCAATCATCCACTATGGTCAGAAAGTACCGCTCCCCCTTGTGTCCCTGAACCGGCAGCGGCCCCACCAAGTCCATGTGGACCAGCTCCAACGGCTTCTTGCTCCTGCCAGCCACACTATGGAAGGGGAAACGGGTAAACTTTGAGAGCAAACAGATTTCACAGTTATCATCGGGTGGTTGTCCGTTCAGCTTCAAGCCCTTAACGGCTCCATACTTCTCCAGCTGCCTCAGCAAAGGCATTGCCACATGCCCCAAGCGTCGGTGTGCCGTTGCCCAATCCGTCTCCCCAGATCTGGCCGACACTTTCACACCAACCCCTCCAACGGCGTTGCACTCCCCCTGGGATGCACACCCCTCTCCAGCCTGCCCCCCACCATGCCACGCCAACGCCGGCAGCTGCCACATGGATCTGTACACGTCTGTGCTCTCGTGCAGATCCCAAAGCACCCGATTGCCCAGCTGCCCCTTGTAAGTGCGTGCCCCATCCGTGCTAGTGCTCACCCCAGCCTTGCCAAGCTTACGGAGGGAGATGAGGTTGGCCTTGAGTTCAGGAACGAGAAGAACGTCGTGCAGCACCACCGGCTTGCCATCCGCCCCCTTAAACGCAGCTCATCCCGCACCAGCCCCCTTAAATCAGCGCGTGTCCAGAGGCGGAGCACACCTCGTTGATCGGTGCAGCGCGTACGTGGTCCAGCAGGTCCTTACGTGGCGTCATCGTCCAAGCAGCGCCCGTGTCCAACACCCAATAATCCAGGGGGTGCAGCTCTGCTCCAACCTTGGCAGAGGCGTCTCCTTGCTCCCCCTTGTCTCCCATATGGAAGAATTGGCCCGCGGTGTGCTCCTTCTTCTTCTCCGCACCGCCGTTGCCCTTTGGGTTGTTGTCGGACGAATCAGCGATCATGTTGGCACCGTTTTTCTGGTTCCTCCGCGCACCGCCATCCTGGTGACGATTCTGGGGGGTCCATCCATCGGGTTTCTTATAGCACAAAAACCAGGGGTGCCCTTCCTTCTCACAATACCAGCAACTCCCTTTCATTTTGCCACCAGCACCCGACTTGCCCCCACGTCCAGATTTCGCACCGCGACCCCAACCGGTACCTCCTTGTTGGTCGTTGGAGTCGTCGTCCTTCTTTGCACCGCGTCCAGCACCACCGAAGCCACGTCCTTTGCCACGTCGGCTCCCTTGCATCCCGTAGCCGCTGCTGCCGTCGTCTCCACCCCTCAGTTGACGGCGACGGAAGTCCTACTCTAGAATCTTTGTCCGCACCCACTCGAGCGTCCACAAGCTCTGGTTCTGCGGCAGGCTCAATCCGCTCGTGAATTGAAGCCACGATTCCGGCAGCAGCGAGAGCATCTTCAGGCACTTGGTCTGCTCCGGGTAGGTGATTCCTGCGATCGCCAACTTCGCGTAGAGGTCGCGCAATTTGTCCAGGACAGGTTGCACCGGCTCTCCCTCGCTCAGGCGCAACGCGGACAGCTCCCTCTCCAGCATCAATGTTGCAACAACGGAGGTCGGGGCGTGCAGCTCCTTCAACACGGTCCACTCCTTCGGACCGCACTCAACCTCCGGCAGCAGGTGCATGACGTGGTGACGCTGGTTCAGCTCCAAACTCTGCGACATCAAGTAGTAGCCAGCCGAGGCGCGCTCGTCCCAATCTTCCTGAAGGGCGGGGTCACTCGGTCTAGGCTCCTCCCCAATCATTAGTTTCAGCAAACCGATCTGACGTAAATAGAGTTGCATTTTCCAGGCCCAATCATCATAGCCCTCACCATTGAACTTCTCGACGGTGAAGTTTTTCAGCACCTCCTTGATCAGCGAGCCCTGGCTTGTTCGCGCTCCTCTTGGCGCAGAAACACCAGAATCTTGGCTGCCGCTACGATCTTGGGCTGAAGATTCACCAGCTACCGCCGAGGTGTTCCCCGCCATAGCTACCTATAACGAGGATCACTATAACGCAGCTCTGATACCAGCTTGTTGGTGTAAGGGCCTAATAAACTCAAGCTATTAGGACTTTATCAAACTTAAAACCTCTCCTCGGGGTCACCTCCAAGGGTCCTTGGGTGCCTGGTACAAGACCAGCCCCTATCCTCGGGTCCGAGTTTGTAGAGAGAGGGATCAAGAGGGACTAAGTCAAAACAGCAAGAGTACCTTGAACGTCGCGTTGTGTATTGTGCAGACCGTCGATCGGATTAAGCTGAGAATTTTCTATATCGAAGCTCACTCTAAGAGCTTTAAAATAAGCCAAGTTGCCTCGCAAAAAGTTCTGCCATTACGAAGTTATGGCTCGGACAGCGTTAGCCTAGCGTTGGAGTGCTAGCGTACTAGCGTTGACTCGGGTAGCATTCCGCCGTCGCACCGCGTAGAAAGGAAATTCCAGCAAGGAAGGAATTCGCTTGAATCAATTTCACTATATTCAGGTACAAACAGAGAAGGAATAAATAGCTCTAGCTAGCAAGGACCTTGGGAATCAACCTGGGAACAACCAGGGATGATCCCAAATAATTCCAAGCAACAGAACCAACCTGGCTGGACAAAATAGCAGGTGGTAGGTTGGTGAACAACCTCTGGTTCTGTTTTTCCAACCTGGGAAAACAACAACCAGGTTCAGGTCCTAAAAACAGAACCTGTTTTGTCTTTGCCCAACCAGCCAAATACTGGCTCCGCTGGTTTTCCCTGGCCCTGTAGCATGCAGATACAGACAAACAACATCCAACCTTCACCTAAATTGTACCCCTATAGTGCCTGCCCTGCTACACTATAGTAAACCAAACAAAACAGTACAATTTCGAGTTGGATAGAACTGAATCTGCGCAATCAAGTAAGTTGAACCGCAAAGCTTCCATCTTGGGTTCCTTTGCGAGCTCGTCCTTTCTGCTTGTACTGTTCATAGCGCGTACAATGTTATGCCGAAGAGCACATTGTGCGAGTACCTGCAAATGCTTCAAGCGAAAATTGCGAAAGCAAACAAACACACGAACATACCATTCACGCGCAAATACATTCGCACACGCACACTCGTACAAACAGACGGCAGGATGTCGTGCAATGTGAATTTGCACCCAACAGAAAGGAGGAGGTCAGCATGGGCGACTGTGAGAATGAACGAGAATGAATTGACTAAGGGAAAGTTGGGTACAAGTACAAATCCTAGAAAATCGTACCCCATATGTGCTACCCCACTATAGCCTACAACAGCTATGTTATATAAATCTGACTCACCCCCATAGGCAAAGTGGGGGAGAACAAGGGGTCACAAGACCGGTCAAGCAATGGAAAGCAAGCTCAGGGTGGATCACAAAGTCACCACACATTCCGAGCACAAGTTCAAGGCCGCAAGGCCAGTTCACATGAAGGATTACATATATATATAAGTCTAGACAAGCAAGAGCAGGTTTATATATATATGTAACAGTACAAACAAGGCACGTACAAGACCCAGCTGAGTACAGAAGCGCTGATGATCACAAGGCGCAAGCGCCTTGGTGAAGATATCAGCAGTGTTGGCCTCAGAGGCCATGTAGGCAAGGCGCAGCTGACCACGCTGCTGTAGCTCACGAGCAAGGAAGTAGCGAAGAGCAATGTGCTTCGTTCTGTGCTCCAGTCTGTGCTCCCAACACAAGGCCAGCATGGCCTTGTTGTCTACGTACAGCACTGGAGGAGAACGAGGCGGCTCTCCGAGGTCAGTCAGCAGATAGGTGAGCCAGCGAAGCTCCTGTGCAGCCATGGCTCCTGCGTAGATCTCAGCCTCACAACTGGAGCCGAGAACAGAAGACGAGTGGGTAGCCCGCCACGAAACAGAGCCGGAACCAAGGCTGAAGGTGTAACCCTGTGACGACCGCTGCGTAGCCTGGTCGTCAGCCCAAGAAGCGTCTTCGTGCTCAGTGAGGACCACTGGACTCTGCCCTCCAAGCACAAGCCCCATGCCTGACGTACTGCACAAGTAGCGCAACACCCTCTTTGCTGCACCCATGTGCTCCGGTCTGTGTCTCCCAGGAGCAACATAGCGTGCGAGAATGCTAAGAGGGTATGCAAGGTCAGGTCGAGTGCAGGTCATCAGGTACATGAGGCAGCCAACAAGCTCTGGGTACGGGCCACTCGGCTCTACAGACTCATCCGAAGGCAGAGCTGAGAGCGAGTGGCGAGTAGGCAGAGGAGTGGCCTGAGGCGAGGAGTACGTGAAGCCGAAGCGCTGAAGGACCTGCTGCACCATGTGTGACTGAGTCAGGGTAATGGTGCGGCGTGCTCTGTCCCGGGTGATCTGCAGGCCAAGGTAGCTGCGCAGTTCACCCAGGTCTGTGCACGTGTGTCTCTTCTGCAGCTCGGACATCACGTGGGCGAGTCCAGCAGTGTCAGCTGTGGCAAAGACCAAGTTGTCGACGTACACGAGGATGTAGAACGGCGGCAAAGAAGTTTCGGTGCGCAGAAACAGCGAAGGGTCGGCAGTAGAGGGAGCAAACCCAAGAGCCGCAAGTGTAGTCCTCAGTGTGTTGTGCCACTCACGGGGCGCCTGGCCGAGACCGTAAACTGGCCGACGGAGGCTCCACTGGGTGCCAGGAGGAAAAGACCCAGTGAAGCCACGTGGGCGGCGCAGCCAGATCTCCTCGTGCAGGCTGCCCTGCAAGAAAGCAGTGCTGAAGTCAAGACAGTGCAGCTCGTAGTCACGGTGAGCAACTATGTGCAGCAGTACCCGAAGAGTGGTCATCTTCGGGGTGGGAGAGAAGGTCTGAAAGTAGTCAACTCCCTGCCGCTGACTGAAGCTACGAGCCACGTAACGCGCCTTGAAGACAGGCGGAGAACCCGGCGGTCGCTTCACCCTGAAAATCCACATGCCACTGACAATGTTCGCCCGAGGCGCGGGAACCTCGTCAACGCAGGTGCCTGTGGACTTCCAGGAAGCCATCTCTGTGTCCATAGCTGCCTGCCACTGAGAGGAGTAGGGACCCTCTATCGCCTCCGCGTAATAGCGCGGAGTCGGGATGTCGAGTGCATCCGGGTCTCCCTCGGGGGTAAGCAGTACAGACACGAGATGAGGTGAAGCAGCGGCCAAGCACTGGAACTCCTCCTGCCTGTCCTCAAGGACGTCCGTGCCAAAGGCACACTCACCCCCGACGGACGGGGGACAGACAAACCTTGACTCAGCGACAAGACTAGCAGCGTAGTCTAGACGACAGCGAGCAGCAAAGTCGACGAGCTCAGCAACTAGGGCAGACGCAGCAGTGGACTAAAAGGAAGGGTCAGTGACGACAGTAGCAAGGAGACGCGTGACAGTAGGACTGGCAGCACGAAGAGAGTCCGACTCCGGGCCGGCAAGAGCAGGAAGAGAGGACTCAGGAGGACAAGGCAAAGGGGCACGCAGAGGAGCAGTGGACAGACGCAGAGACATCCGGTGCGTGCCAGGGACAGGACGAGGACGCTGACGCGAACCACGACCACTAGTGCGAGCAGGACGGACAGGCGACGCAGGGCGAGACGCAGGCTCACAACGCTCAGCAAGACCTCCAGTAGGACCAGTGTAGGGAGAAGGAGCAGGCTGTGGGGAGGCCGGCTGTAACTGTAACTGTGACGGGACAGGCTGTGGACATTCTAAGGGAGGAGGAGGACCAGTAGAAGGCGGAAGACCAAGAACCTGCTGAAGGAGCGGAACGAAGTACGGCCGAGGCCGCGCGGCGACTTCGGACACAGCAGGGACAGCACCAGTACCCCCAGTGGTAGCACCAGTGCCAGCAGCACCTACAGCTCCAGCACCCCCAGCAGCTCCAGTAGCTCCAGGACCTCTAGCAGCACCAGTAGCACCCCCAGCAGGACCGCCTCCAGGACCGACAGCAGTAGCCTCAGCGCCAACACCCTCAGCAGTTCCAGCTCCAGTCGTACCCGCAGGCCCAGCAGCTCCAGTACTCCCAGTACAAGCACCTCCTGGACCCGCGACACAAGCACCCTCAGTAGCCGAAGAACCTCCAGCTCCAGCAGCACGCCTCCAGCGCCGGACAAACCACTCGCCCAGCTCCTGTGGAGAGAGTGGCTCCCGCCGAGACGAAGCACCCGAAGAACCTCCAGGCACAGTACCGCCAAACGTGACACGAGCAGGCCCAGCTCCCTCAGGCTCCGCACCCCCAGGCTCAGCACCTCCAGGCGTAGCACCCCCAGGCTCAGCACCCCCAGTCGTAGCACCCCCAGGCTCAGCACCCCCAGGCGTAGCACCCCCAGGCTCAGCACCTCCAGGCTCAGCACCCCCAGTAGTAGCACCCTCAGGCTCAACACCCCCAGGCGTAGCACCCACACGCTCAGCACCCCCAGAGTCAGCACCCCCAGGCTCAGCGCCCTCAGCAGCACCAGAGTCACCAGCAACCTCAACAAGCTCGACTGCGTCTACCTGGGACACACCTGAAGGGGTAGGACCCTGACGGGGGAGGGGGTCTACCGGGGGGGGACCTGGCACAAGGAAGAGCGGTGGCGGGGGGAGGGACGGAGTGCGGTAGGGGAAGAGACGGCAGTAGGGGACCGACTCGTCAAACGTGACGTCCTGGGAGGACAAAACACGGCGAGAGGTGAGGTGGTAGAACTGCCACCCAGGTGCGTTAAGGGGGAAGCCAAGGAAGACGCAAGGAGTAGCACGAGGGGACAGCTTGTCCGCAGACAAGTCGCGAACAAACGCCCGAGATCCCCAGACACGGAACGCAGACGCATCGCCAACCTTCCCAGTCGACAGCAAAGCTGGGGAGGTCTCCAGCATGGAGACCCCGGGCTGAAGGTTGATCTGATGCGCCGCGTACCGAACCGCAAACGGCCACAGAAAATGGGGGGCAGCCGCATGCATCGTAGACGTACGGGCGACGTCCATGACCATGCCAATGCGGCGCTCAGCAATCCCATTTTGCTGTGGAGAGTCCGGAAGCGTGAAGGTCTGGCGGATGCCTCGTGCACGACAGTAGGCTCGCAGAAGGCCAGAGGAGAACTCTCCGCCTCTGTCAGAGTGCAGACGCAGAACAGGAAAGTCCGAGCCGAAGCTCTGCCTGAGCTGGAGACGAGCTGCGCGGATCCAGTCGATCAGCACCTCAGTGACATCACCCTTGCTGCGCAAGGGGAAGACTGTGGTGTAACGCGAGTAGTCGTCAACCACCAGCAGGAAGTAGCGCTCGTGACCCTGTCCACAGATGCGGGCTGGGCCCCACATGTCCATGTGAAGCGTCTGCAGCGGGGCCTCTATCAGAGGAAACTGTGAGGAGTGAGGGGCAGCACGCTGCCGCCCCTCATTGCAGGGGACGCAGGCAGGGGCAGGCCCCGGGGGAAGGGGAGGGAGGGACCGGAGAAGACCAGAGACAAGGACACGGGAGGCCATGCTTCGGAGATGAAGCAAGGAGGGGTGACCAAGGCGGTGGTGCCAGAGGAGAGTCTCGTGAGACAGGAGGCGACACGAGCAGGGGGAGCACTCAAGACCAGACCTGGACGCTGCAGCTAACACCTGACCCGACGCAGCTACCTGACCAGACGCAGGGACTGGAGGAGACGCAGTGGTCTGTGTGTACAGGCTCGACCCCGGCCGACGTGTAAATGTGGCCAGGTGTCGGCGTGTCTGAGTGTCCGTGCAGTGGGTCACCCGCTGACTCGCAGGAGTGAACTGGTGAAACCCTGCATCCTGTAGGTCAGCACCACTCACCAAATTCGTAGAGAACAAGGGGAGGTAAAGACCAGACAGGGTGCCAGAGGGGGCCGCAGGACACGGGAGGACAATGGAGAAGTGAGCAAGGACAGGACCCCCAGAGGGGTCTGCCAGAGAGAGTGCAATTGGCCAACCAAGCGGCGTGAGAGTGGTGCGGTCTCGAAAGAAGGAGCGAGAAGCCCCCGAGTCAAGGGTGAAGGTGTGGGAGGCTGAAGCCGACGCGGTACCTGAGAGAGCAGACTCACCAGCACCTGAGGAAGCAGAGGCATTGGCACCTAGAGCAACAGCCTCGCTAGCACCTAGAGCAGCAGCCTCACCAGTACCTAGAGCAGCAGTCTCAATGCCCGGGTCAAGCGGAAAACACCGGTAACAGTCACCCTCATCACTAATAGTCACAGTATACATGGCAGCAAGAATAGCATCAAAGTCAAGGTCAAAGATAGCTACTCCCGCCCTAGACAGCTCGCCCAAGCAAAGGATCTTAGTGGCCTCAGGGAATTGGTGATGCCATGCGTCCGTCAGGCGGCCAAAGCAGCGCTGGGTGGAGTGCGCACCCCCGCACTGCTCACTCGCGCGGTCGCTGGTGCGTAGGACGTAGGTGCACGGACCAGTACCCCCACCCCGCTGGCGTGCAGCGTACCACTCACGGACCTGCTGAGGGGGGGGGGATGGCACGAGTGCGCTGCTGCTGCTGGCGCTGACCACCACCGGAGCCGACCCTCTGCGCAGCGCCACCCCGACCAGCTCCGCCTCCTCTGCCGCCGCCTCCTCCTCCGCCGCCACCTCCGCCCCCACCACCACCGCCGCCTCCGCCTCCACTGCAGCCGCCGACACTTCCACCCCCGCCACCACTCCCACCACCACCCCCACCCCCTCCACTGCCGCCACCGCCACCTCCGCCAACCCCGCCAGCCCCTCCAGCGCCCTTGCCCCCCTTGCCCTTGCCGGTGCGGCGTCTCCCGCTCGAGGTAGACGCAGCGCCGACCGACTCGAAACCAACGAGGTCAGCCGCAGCAGCAGAGGCAATAGAGGGCAAAAGGGGGGAGGGGGAACACCCCTCAAAGACGGGGGTGCGAGGGTCACCACGAGAGGCTCCTACAGCGACTATGCTCTTGTCTGCCGCTAGGAGGGCCTTCTCGAGGAGTTCAACGGTGAGAGTGGTGGGGCAAACTGAGAGGAAGTGGTCCCTGACTACGCGGAGAGAGTCAAGGAGCCGGGTGACGATGTAGTAGAGGGTGATGTACATGTGGGGGGGTTCTTGGCGCAGAACTCAGCAGGAAGCGCAGCACGGTAGCGAGTGTCACTAGTGCGGAGGTGCGTAATGAGATCAGCGACTGTGGGAAAGGCAGCAAGGTCAGGGAAGAGGTACGGTAGCATGAGGCGGCTCAGTGCAGCAGTGGCAGGGGAGGAGTAGCGTGCAACTACAGCGTCGTACAGGGTCTGCGCAGTCTTGTACTTGCTAAAGTGCGCACGCTCAGAGGTAGGCAGGTGGCGACGCACAGCAAGACGAGTAGCAGCATCGCGTGTGGCCCACTGTGAGCGAACAGTGGCGTCAACATCAGCAGCAGGGTCAGGAGATGCACTAGAAGTGAGGTCAAAGAGGGAGAGACCGTCTGCCCTATCGCACTGTAGGAAAAGCTGCAGGTCATCTAGCCACACGTCAAAGTCAATGGCCCGACCCTCAGCGTCAAAAGCGAGGACACTAGGGGTAGCCATGACAGCAGTAGACTAGCAGCCCGAACAGTAGGGTAAGGGCAGTGCAGTGATAGAGGCGCTACTCTTACCGGACAGGGCGGCTCGGGCGGCTCGGCGGCTCGGCGGCTTGGCAGGAAATGCAGCTCGGCGACTCTGCGGCTCTGGCGGCTCGGGCGACTCGGCGGTACGGCGGCTCGGCAGCAACTGCGGCTCGGCGACTCGGCGGCTCTGGCGGCTCGGCGGCGTGGCGGTACGGCGGCTCGGCAGCTCGGCGACCCGGCGGCTCGGGCGGCTCAGGTGGTGCGGCGGCTCGGGCGGCTCAGGTGGCTCGGGCGGTTCGGCAGTAGCTCGGCGGCGCTGGCGGCTCGGTGGTGACGCCGGGGCCGCGTGGGGACGGCGGCGAGGCCGATAGAGGCGGTGCCGGGGCCGGGAAGGGTAGCGCCGGGGCCGCAGGGTAGGCGACGGGGCTAGCAGGGTAGGCGACGGGGCCAGCAGAGGCGACGCCGGGGCCGGGAAGGGCGGTGCCGGGGCCGGGAAGGACGGCGCCGGGGCCGCTGTTGGGTGCAAATTCACATTGCACGACATCCTGCCGTCTGTTTGTACGAGTATGCGTGTGCGAATGCATTTGCGTGTGAATGGTATGTTTGTGTGTTTGTTTGCTTTCGCAATTTTCGCTTGAAGCATTCGCAGGTACTCGCAAAATGAGCGCTTCGGCATAACATTGTACGCGCTATGAACAGTACAAGCAGAAAGGACGAGCTCGCAAAGGAACCCAAGATGGAAGCTTTGCGGTTCAACTTACTTGATTGCGCAGATTCAGTTCTATCCAACTCGAAATTGTACTGTTTTGTTTGGTTGACTATAGTGTAGCAGGGCAGGCACTATAGGGGTACAATTTAGGTGAAGGTTGGATGTTGTTTGTCTGTATCTGCATGCTACAGGGCCAGGGGAAACCAGCGGAACCAGCATTTGGCTGGTTGGGCAAAGACAAAACAGGTTCTGTTTTTAGGACCTGAACCTGGTTGTTGTTTTCCCAGGTTGGAAAAAACAGAACCAGAGGTTGTTCACCAACCTATCACCTGCTATTTTGTCCAGCCAGGTTGGTTCTGTTGCTTGGAATTATTTGGGATCATCCCTGGTTATTCCCAGGTTGATTCCCAAGGTCCTTGCTAGCTAGAACTATTTATTCCTTCTCTGTTTGTACCTGAATATAGTGAAATTGATTCAGGCGAATTCCTTCCTTGCTGGAATTCCGTTTCTACGCGGTGCGACGGCGGAATGCTACCCGAGTCAACGCTAGTACGCTAGCACTCCAACGCTAGGCTAACGCTGTCCGAGCCATAACTTCGTAATGGCAGAACTTTTCGCGAGGCAACTTGGCTTATTTTAAAGCTCTTAGAGTGAGCTTCGATATAGGAAATTCTCAGCTTAATCCGATCTACGGTCTGCACGATACGCTGCGCGACGTTCAAGGTACTCTTGCTGTTTTGACTAAGTCCCTCTTGATTCCTCTCTCTACAAACTCGGACCCGAGGATAGGGGCTGGTCTTGTACCAGGCACCCAAGGACCCTTGGAGGTGACCCCGAGGAGAGGTTTTAAGTGTGATAAAGTCTTAATAGCTTGAGTTTATTAGGCCCTTACACCAACAGCCGCAGGGGTAGGCGACGGGGCCGCTAGGGCGGCTAGGAGGGGGGGTCGCGACGGCGGCTTGAAGAGGCTGCGAGGGCGGCACGAACGGGCCGCGAGGGCGGCGCGAATGGGCCGCGAGGGCGGCGCGACGCGACGGAGCCGCGAGGGCGGCGGATCGGGGCCGCGACGGCGGCGCGACGTGGCCGCTAGGGCGGCGCGACGTGAAGGGGCCGCGAGGGCGACGCGACGGGGCCGCTAAGGCGGCGCGACAGGGTCGAAAGAGGGGAGCGCGACTCAGGCAGAGTAGAGCGCGCTCCGAGCAAGAAAAAAAAAGGTGGTGGGCCCTAGAAACAGTTCCCACAGGGGAACCTGCTCGATACCATGTGAGAATGAACGAGAATGAATTGACTAAGGGAAATTTGGGTACAAGTACAAACCCTAGAAAGTCGTACCCCATATGTGCTACCCCACTACAGCCTACAACAGCTATGTGATATAAATCTGACAGCGACAACACCAGCTGAGCGGGAAAGGCCTCCTCGCAGAGCCGACGATGAGAGGCGCTGTCATAATCGCGGGCAGCCAGGGCATCTGCAAAGGGATTGTCGCAATCCACTGGTATGCTCTACCTGCGGAGGCGAGGAGCACATGAGGCGGGACTGCCTGAACGCGCCGGTCTGCGAACGCTGCGGGAGGAAGGGGCATCAGAACAAGGATTGCTACGCAACGAAGAAGGAAGGACGCGCCAAGAGGGACTCGAAGAGCATGCGAGCCCATATCGCACGGCTACAGTGGCAGTTGGAGGAGGTCGAAGGAAAGGAGGCGAAGGAAACCGCGATGCTGGCCAAATCGGAGGAGGAAGATGACGAAGGGGGTGAGGCCAGCTTCGCACTGATGGCTCGCCCGGCGCGAGAGAGGGATGAGATGGGTCTGCGTGCGCAACACAGGCACTTCCCACAGGTGCAAGGAACGCAGGAGCAGGGACCGCGCCGAGACATGTCGGAGGAGCGCCCGCCAGGGGCGGCGCGGGGACATCCGTTGGGGAGGATGGCCTGTCAACCATCAGTGCTGATGGTGGAAAAGGGAGTGATGACGGTGGGCGGGGTCAAGGTCAAGCAAGCAATACTGGACACAGGAGCCCCCATGGCTAGGCTGCGGGGACTGGACCGGGATGATCGACTGATACAAGAGAGGTACCTGCTCATGACAGCCGGAGGAGGGACAGCTAAGTGGATGCCGAGGACCCGCAGCATTGTGGAGATAGTAATACGACCCGGGCATAAGGACGAATGCGTGGTGCGGATGTTCTTTGGAGTGTCAACAACGAAAACTACGACCTACTACTGGGAGTGGAGTACATGTTTGCAATCGGAACGACAAACTGCATGTGGGAAGAGAGGTTGATGTATCGGGTGACTTACTGGGAGCAAAAAAGTCCGCTAGCAGAACTGCCTGTCCGGTTCATCAGGAGGGAGCCGAGGGAAGCGTACCAGGCAGTGGAGAGGCCGTTGGAAGAAGAGCTGGGAATACTGACGTGGAAAGAGATGGGGCAGACAGAGGCAACCAGGAAGCAATACGAAGAAATTTGGGGGGTCAGCGACAACCTGAGGGAACCGCAACTGAACCTATGAGCATTCCAGAAGCCGCAGGTGTTGCTGGAGCTGTATGGAGGAATTGCAACAGGTCTGGCGGCAGAATTAAAGGCGGTGTTGGGTGCAAATTCACATTGCACGACATCCTGCCCTCTGTTTGTACGAGTATGCGCGTGCGAATGCATTTGGGTATGAATGAAATGTTCGTGTGTTTGTTTGCTTTCGAAATTTTCGCTTGAAGCATTTGTAGGTACTCGCGCATTATGCGTTTCGGCACAACGTTGTACGCGCTATGAACAGTACAAGCAGAAAGGACGAGCTCGCAAAGGAACCCAAGATGAAAGCTTTGCGGTTCGGTTGAATTGATTGTGCAGATTCAGATCTATCCAACTCGAAATTGTACTGTTTTGTTTGGTTGACTATACTGTAGCAGAGCAGGCACTATAGGGGTACAATTTAGGTGAAGGTTGGATGTTGTTTGTCTGTATCTGCTTACTACAGGGCCAGGGGAAACCAGCGGAACCAGCATTTGGCTGGTTGGGGAAAGACAAAACAGGTTCTGTTTTTAGGACCTGAACCTGGTTGTTGTTTTCCCAGGTTGGAAAAACAGAACCAGAGGTTGTTTACCAACCTACCACCTGCTATTTTGTCCGACCAGGTTGGCTGTGTTGCTTGGAATTATTTGGGATCATCCCTAGTTGTTCCCAGGTTTATTCCCAAGGTCCTTGCTAGCTAGAGCTATTTATTCCTTCTCTGTTTGTACCTGGATATAGTGAAATTGATTCAAGCGAATTCCTCCCTTCCAGGAATTTCGTTTCTACGCGGTGCAACGGCGGAATGCTACCCGAGTCAACGCTAGTACGCTAGCACTCCAACGCTAGGCTAACGCTGTCCGGGCCATAACTTCGTAATGGCAGAACTTTTCGCGAGGCATCTTGGCTTATTTTAAAGCTCTTAGAGTGAGCTTCGATATAGAAAATTCTCAGCTTAATCCGATCGACGGTCTGCACGATGCGCTGCGCGACGTTCAAGGTACTCTTGCTGTTTTGACTAAGTCCCTCTTGATCCCTCTCTCTACAAACTCGGACCCGAGGATAGGGCTGGTCTTGTACCAGGCACCCAGGACCCTTGGAGGTGACCCCGAGGAGAGGTTTTAAGTTTGATAAAGTCTAAATAGCTTGAGTTTATTAGGCCCTTACACCAACAAGCTGGTATCAGAGCTGCGTTATAGTGATCCTCGATATAGGTAGCTATGGCGGGCAACACCTCGGCGGTAGCTGGTGAATCTTCAGCCCAAGATCGTAGCGGCAGCCAAGATTCCGGTGTTTCTGTGCCAAGGGTAGCGCGAACAAGCCAGGGCTCGCTGATCAAGGAGGTGCTGAAAAACTTCACCGTCGAGAAGTTCAATGGTGAGGGCTATGATGATTGGGCCTGGAAAATGCAACTATATTTTCCGTCTGATTGGATTGCTGAAACTAATGATTGGGAGGAGCCTAGACGAGTGACCCCGCCCTTCAGGAAGATTGGACGAGCGCGCCCTCGGCTGGCTACTATTTGATGTCGCAGAGTTTGGAGCTGAACCAGCGTCACCACGTGATGCACCTGCTGCCGGAGGTTGAGTCGGTTCGAAGGCGTGGACCATGTTGAAGGAGCTGCATGCCCCGACCTCCGTTGTTGCAACGTTGATGCTGAGAGGGGAGCTGTCCCGTGTTGCGCCTGAGCGAGGGAGGAGCCGGTGCAACTGTCTTAGACAAATTGCGCGACCTCTACGCGAAGTTGGCGACCGCGGGAATCACCTA